AGCAGGAATTCAAGACGCAGCTGAAGACAAATGGAATGCAAGAATGCAATCGTCTTCAGCAGCTTGTCAAAGGTGCCTGAAAGCATCTTAATTCTTTCAAAATTCCTCAACATCATTCAGAGACCCATCAATACAGGAGAGACAAGAGGTAAAATACGTTGCTGTGATAAGATGTAAGATCAATATTTGTCGAAGAACTGGGCTGAGAAGCAGGGAGCTGGGCAAAGATGGCCACAGTAAACACAGAGTGAATATACCTGAAATTGTGATGCAGCTCCAGGTTTGGTGAAGAAGAAACTCCCTGGTTCATGGTTCCAATGATATAGGGACTGAGAAGAGAAAAGTAGGAGGTTTTTTGAGGGAGAATCTATTCAGACATTCAGGAATATTTCTTCTAATCTGCACTAGGCCAATTTTTAAAGTTTCTGGATGTATTGTAGCTTTAGATTTAAAATTTTCCTCAGATGCCTTTTTAAATGTTTGTTCTTGTATGATTTCCTTTCCTGTACATTTATAGTTTACCAGTACTCATCTGTAATAACAAAATAAATGAGGCAATGCTTTCCTCATGTACCTTATAATTTTGCAGTAGGCTTAGAGTTCTGATTTTAGAAGCCAACGGATCTCATAAGACACAGCATGCAATGGTTTTATGAAGGGAAGTCCCTATGACGGCACTTATACGGCAGGAACAGCCAATGTTATAGGCCAGTAAAAGTTCCAGAAAACATAATTTTTATTCTTGCTTGACAACAAAGGATGATCAGCAAACTTCATACTTCTGCATTGCTACAGGAAAACTGGAAGGAGTGCAAGTCTAAACAGCTGCTTCCGCATGGCATGGCTCATGGGCTCACACATAGCCTAAATTCCACTGTTATAAAGTGCATTTCTTCTTACTCTCCCATAAGCTGTCTTCATGGTACTAATGAGCTTGTGTGATCTGACAGGGTGAAAGTGATAAGACCCTGATTCAGTCAAGCATTTAAGTACATTCTTAAATTCTGTGGTATGTTTACATCTCACTTATATGCACAGGAACCATGTAAATAAAGTGAAGCAGACAGGTATTTAGCTGAAGAGGGTTAAAATTATTCAAGCACATAAGGCTTTGCTGACAGCCTATGCAAACCTAAGTTTTCCCTGGGACATTTTATTTTGCAAAATAAGAAACAGCTTTTTCTGTTTTATTTGCAAAAGGTAATGTGAGAGGGGAGAGAAGATATACTACCTACCATTTATTATATTTACAGTTGAGGAAGCCATTGAAGATGTCACTTAGTGAACTGATGTGGTGGAGGTTGTCAAGAATTATGACCACAGGGAGGTCAGCACCATTGTTGTCAGCACTGCACTGCTCAGCTAGATTTGCTAAATATTGTCGTAGATCCTTCAGCAGAATTAACAGAGAGAAAACCAAAATAACAAACCAAAACAATAGAAAAGATTAACCCAATTAGATCATAGATGCCATTTCAGTGGAAAATATTTTCAGAAAGACAGAGAGACTGCTACAGAGTTTCCCCATTGTGGCTCCTTCAGCTTCACCAGCACATGCAGGAAGACCTGCTTCTTAGGTAGGGCAACATTGAAGCCACATGGTAGGAAAAACAAAAGCACTAAACATAAAGCAAGTGACTGAAACATATGCATTCCTATTTGGTGGACACATTCCTAAGAAACTTGCTGATAAAATATCTCCAGAGGAAAATAAGTTGCAACAAAATATGCCATTTCCAATGGGCTGAGATACATTAATTGTTGCACCTCCATTCCTATGAATGCCACATTTACATAGCAAAAAAACCTTGCCACGAAATTATCACACAATTCAGACATACCGACCTGCTCCTTTCAAAGTCTCCTTTCACTCCTCTCACTGAAAATCTGTTTGACATTTTGGGGATACTGTATCACACCTCGTGATAAAATTTATTTTGTAAATTCTTTTTTTCTGCCAACTGTTGGGCTACTGTTTAGTGCTGGATTAAGAGACCTTTCTATAATCAAAATATTTCATATTTTTCCCAACACTTTGTTGCTTTTGAGGGGCTGGGCTAGTAAAGTTTACGGCTATATCTCCAGAGGTATCTAATTTTGGCAGCAATAGGAATGCTCAGCATGATGCACAAAGTTCCTATTGCCATTTTACTCTCTGCATCAGAGATAGCAGAATTCTTTCTTCTTTAATGGGAACATGCAATCTCTTTTATTTCAAGTAGGATTTTTTGGTGTTTTTTTTTTTATGATCAGGTGTCTCTAGGGGAACATCATTATTTTCTTCCATGAAATAACACCATCTGTATTATTCAAACACACTTGGTATTTTACAATGTTTTTTTTTTCTTTTTACTACAAACTTAAAAGTTCTATATACATCTTAATAGAAACAAAGGAAAAACAAAACAAAACCAAACCAAACCAAACCAACCACATCAAAGAAACCGCCAAGCCAAAACCACATACAAGCAATTTACCAGAAATCCAGAAGCTTACTCTTTTGTGGGAAAATTTTCGTTATAAATGTATATGAAATAACAATAAGACATAAATGCATCTCCTGCCAAAGTAAATGGCATCACAAATCCTCTACATAAAGAGAGTGAAAAGTAGTATTTTTACTGGAAAAGTTCTCTCACCCCTTTGGGATCTGTATGTTCTTCCTTCTTACATTATGCTGACATTCATTACGTTCTGTACAAATGAGAAAGCTCTAGGCAAAACCTTTAATTTTCCCCGGGTACCAAGTTAGGAGTATACCTGATTTAGGCCAGCAAGTGAGTAGTATTATCTGTGGCTAGCACAGTAGTCATGCTAGAAGCTTGACAATCTGAGCTATGTAAATCACAGTGGAAGTGACATGATGCATGAGGCAATTTTAGTATGGTCAGCTTCCTGATCAATGCACGCCAGCAACTGTGGCAGCAGCTCTACTTATCCAGTGCTGATTAAGAAGCAGAATCCAGGACAATAAGTCAAAGCTGAAATCTTTGCTTACAAGCTGCTGTTACCACTATAAAAAAGTGAGTTAGAATAATATTACTATATATCCGACCTTTCTGACAAAGGAATTACAGACACTGTAAGAACTTAATTTATAGAGGAATTTGACTCTGCATCTATCCTTAAGGTGGGCTTCCTCAAGTGAGGGAAAATTCAAACTTCCTTCGCAGCGCTTCAGTGGTTTGTTTAGAACAGAAAGATCTGTTCCCTGTTCCTTACTGAGACTGAAGACTGAAATCTTGCAGGAAAAACTGTTGAGCAACAAAACAGTATGCCAATTAACAGGATCTGCTTTACATCATCACTAAATAGGGCAATAGGTTACCTTTTTAACTGTAACTCACCTTGCTTGACTTGTGATCTACGTTAAAAGTTGCAATTGCATCTTCAGTTTTTTTTCTGCCAGACTTAGAGATAACATATTCAGCCAGCCTGTTAGCTAAATAGGTCTTTCCTGTGCCACTGGGTCCCGACAGAATAATTCTGCGATGCTCCATCAGTAAATTAAAGTACCGCTGGGTAATTGGCTTAGGAATTAATGTGTCAAACACAAAACTGTCCAAACTGTTTTCTTCCACTCCTGAGAACAACAAAAAAAGAAAAATGGCCTGTCTTCATCCTCAGTAAGGTAGGCATAGGTTTGGCCCAGTACCTGATGGCGTCAGTGCTATTCTTGAAGCAAGGTAGGATGCTTCTGCCTAAATAAAATTCTTGTCAATGGCTTCATTACTGTGAAAATGCTTATATCCTTCCACAGGGCCAAAAAAATGAACAGTGGTAGTAGGACGAGGTGGATGGGAGAGATGAACTCAAAGTAAATGTGAAGAGAACACTCAGTGAGGCAAAGATGCATGTTGCAGATGCTATGGGCAACCATGACAAAAAAAAAAGGTCAAAGTGACAGCCACAAGGGTTACCGGTTGTCACAACAATGTAAGTACAGTTCTTCTGAAGGCCCCTCCTCCCCTCCAGTAATAAATCCCCACAGCTTTTGAAGGGTATTGATTTTTTCCTGCAGAACTGAGTAAGACATAAAGATTTCCCATTATAATCTCTGTTTAGGGGTTGGGGTTTTTTTGCCACTATTCAGAAATTTGTGCTTTGCTGTGATTTGGCAGTCAGGCAGAGAAGGACAGAGATATTCTTAGATTTGCCTTAAAATGCCACAGTGTGTTAGATATTGTACAATGTCACACAGAGAGTTTATGTGATAAATGAGCCCTTGAAGTGAAGACAAAATACAGAAAGGTCAGGTGTAAGAAAAAAATAAGAAGGGTTGGGGGACTGCAGTGAAGAACTCTACAGTGTCTGCAGACATATTCTTGGGGTTTTACCTTTCAGGTTCACAGTAATGACGTTATTATCTCCAACCAGATATCCACAAGGCAGCAGTTCAGGCACTTCTAGGCTATGGGCTCTAATTACATCCCCTATACAATAGCTAGCAATGCAGTCAGAGCTTAAACCCAGGCTAGTAGTCGGATCCACTCGGAAAATATATTCCTGAAATTATATGAAAACATATGGCATAAAAATGTTTATTGAATGAAAGCAGTTTGGAAAATATTTTGGTGCAGATGAAGTCACATGCCAAGGAGATTTTTGCAGTCATATTCAGTAGAGAACTGTCTATAACCACAAAAAAAGAACAGCATTGTTAAGAATAAAGCTTAATAGTAGTGTTAGCTATGTGCCAAAAAAACCCCCAAAACAAAAAACGTGGAAAGACAATCCAAAGAATCACAATTTTCTTATGTGACAAAGAAAATTGAATTTATACTTGAGCTATTTTTTCAGTGCCTTACCTTAAAGAGACGCCTGATTACACCATCTAAAACATCCCATTTTGTTTTTCCGCTGACTCCAATTGATCCTATCAGATATGTATGTGGTTTTTGATCCTACAAAGAGAGATTTTTGAAAACTGGACTTAAAATAGGTGGCAATTAGTTTTCTACGAAGATTCATAATTTTCCCAGTGAAGAAAAATATATTATTTAGAACATGATGTTACAACTTTGACAATAATCTCTGTGCCAGAAACAGGTATAGATCATATTACTGTGGTAGCTCTTTATAAGGAAGGAAATAGAGTATCTTATGCTGCTCTTTGATCGCATCCATGTTTATAAAGAGCTGAATATAAATTAAAGTTGCACTGTACCTATAATTTTTTGTAACACAGAATGTGAAAACATGACAATGCAATTCCAGATTTATTATCTCAGCACCTTATTCAGAGTTGCACCCTAAGGGGTCCAAGGCATTGATCTAATTTATAACAATTTTTAAATGGAGATAGCAAGTCCCAGAACATCCTACTACTAATTAAACTGAGAAGTGGTAGTATCTGAGACACCACAAAGACAAAAAGGAGGCCATATGACATTAGTCTACAGAGGGAGTCTAATTGTATAGACCATGGAGGACAGAGAAGAGAGCTGCTACCTTTAGGATATTTTCCTTCAGTTACTGTCTGAAAATACTGAAACAAGTTACTATATTGCAATATTTGCCTGAGCTATAATTCTGCATCTAGACTTCTGGGTAATAAACTTACCTTGGCTCGACTATAGCTCTTGTTTATAGTGACTAAAATTTTCACGCTATGACCTTCTTTGTGGAGTGCTCCATCAGTGACTTCATCCAACAAAATATCTACAAAAACAGACGGGAAGCAAAGTGATCAGTTTGACAAATCACATCAATTACGTTCACATCATCAGTTAAATATTTGTTCAAATGACTTTTCAGTTAAAAAGAAAGGCTGCCATCACAACGACTTGCAATCATTTTTATCTGTACTTATTCCTAATTTGCCTTTTATTTTGGGGACGAAAAAAGAGTAACAGTTTGTTAATTTTTGAAGCTATATTAGGAGCTTTAATCATGTAGAAATGATCAGGGAATCTATAAATAAATAAACTATTGCACTACAATCTTGCCTTTGCTTTCTTTCCTGAGACGTGTTCAAAATCACCACACATCCACAAAGTAATGTTATTTCAAACCTAAACTCAGTTTATATCTTCTGGCACTCATTGTCAACTTTAGAATATTGTAGGAAGAAAACCAAGTAGTCCTTGCATTGTTACGTTTGCTGCTAAGTAAAACAGTATTTAATTTCTCATTTCTCTTTCCAGTTGATTTTTTTTCCTTCTATACACATGGCATGGTCTTTTTCACCCCCACAATGCAGGCTTATGAACAGCATCTATTAGAAAACTTCTTTGTTGTCCTCCAGAATATGGGAATATGTATTCAGCCATTCATCTAAGGAAAGGTTTCATTTTTCTTGGGGGTAAGGAGTGATTCTGCTCTGCTCTGCTCTGTGCCTATGTCTCTATCTCTTCACTAAATGAGAAAGCAGGAGAATGTGTCTTACTGAAGACTGAGCCTGTAACTTTCCTGTGAGGGATAAAACTGCTGTCTTCCCCTAGAAGTCCTCTCAGAGATTTCACTGTTAGACATTTAAACTAACCATCAAATTAGGAGAGATTATAGATTTGCCTTTTCTTCAAAGGCTAGCACAGTAATTCACTACCCTAAGTTTCCCTTGTTCTTCTTGTGACCAAAGAAAACCATTGACTTCATGTCATAGTCTGCACAAGGTCAGATTTTACCCAAGTTAAATGAGGTACCAGTAGGATTCAGTCACTTACTCAAAGTAAAACCAAAGAAGACTTATATGACTTCAGTGAATGTATTAAAAAATGAGTCCTCATGTAAAATGTTTGATAACTTACACCCAGAACAAGAAAGCAGATTCTGGTGTCTTGTTTGTTTGTTTGTTTTGTTTTATTTGATCAAGTAAGGAAGCATTTTTATTGTGAGCTTAAACAAATCCATGATTGTTTTCTTATAGGCAGACAGTTTTTCTGTGCCAAAACACCGAATGTTTCATTTCACTTATCTTCTGTTTTGGCATATTAGGCAAACCTGGAGTTTCCATAATGTCATAGTTCACCTTTTTAAAATATAATTGATCCCCCTGTGAAATTTTTCAATCTCTAAATGACCTTCATGTAGCCTTTTAAATACATTCTTCTGTAAGTCTTTAGGAATGAGGAACCACTCTGTGGCTAGAAAAAAAAAATCCACTTTCCAAGAGCTCTCCCTCTCACTGATATGAAGAGCTGAGAAGATGCCCAAGGAATTTTAATTTCATGATGGTGCTAATTGCTTTAATTGCCTCCTGCCAGTCCTCCTCCTTAGGTCCACTACCATGTCTCCAGCTCACTTCTTGCCTGATCTCTGGCACTCTTTTCATTGCACAGTACCAACAGGATCTTGTACTGGTCCTTGTTTGCTGCTCTTCAGTACAGTGGCTGACTGAAATTCAGGTGTCTGTGACCACCAATCCCCTTCCTAGCTTGCTGCTCACACCTATCTGGAGGAGTTGGTCATACCCTTAGGAAGGGGCAGTGCACAGCTTTGGGCATTTCCTGATGACCACAGTAATTTTGAGACACTGGTCTCCCAGTAAGTGCCAAGGCATTTTTCTAATATAATGAGGCAAAGCCCTTGTTATCTCTCTCAGCTTAGTCCCTAGCATGATTAACCCCTCCAAATCTCAGGGACTGTTGCTCAATAGTACTCCAACTACTGCAGAAATCCCAGAAGACTTGGTAGGAAACTGTCACCCTTCCAAGTTGTCTGGCACATAACCAAAATGATACAATGATCAAAAAGGCTAGATTCATAATCAAATTAAATCCTCCACTCCTCATTAGGCATTCTTATTTCTTTAATTTCTTATAACCAAAAGTAATTACTTTGCATGCTAGAAAAACATTTAGAACCAATAACACATAAAATTACATAAAGCTTATAGAATCATAGAATCATATAGGTTGGAAAAGACCTTAAGATCATTGAGTACAATGAGTTCTCTCAGTCTTCCTGCTCTTAGAATTATAGAATCATAGAATCATTAAGGCTGGAAAAGACCAGGGAGTCCAACTATCAACCCAACATTACCATGACCACTAAACCATATTCCAAAGTGTAATGTCTATACAGTTTTGAACACCTTCAGGGATGGTGAATCCACCACTTCCCTGGGCAGCCTGTTCCAATGCTTCACCACTCTTTTCGTAATGTTTCCTAAAACTCAAACTAAAACTCCCCCGGCAAAATTTAAACCCATTTCCTCTCATCCTATCACTAGTTACTTGGGAGAAGAGATCAACCGCCATCTTGCTAAAACCACCTTTCAGGTAGTTGTGGAGAGCATTAAGGTCTCCCTTCAGCCTCTTCTTCTCCAGGCCAGTTCCCTCAGCCACTCGTCAGAAGACATACTCTCCAGACCCCTCACCAGCTTCATTGCCCTTCTCTGGACCTGCTTGAGCATTTCAATGTCTTTCTTGTACCGTGGCACCCAAAACTGAACACAGTTCTCAAGCTGTGGTCTCACCAGTGCTGAGTACAGGGGCACAGTCACTTCCCTCCATCTGTGGACATGATATTTCTGATACAGGCCAGGATGCCGTTGGACTACTTGGCCACCTGGGCACACTGCTGGCTCATGTTCAGCCGGCTGTCCATCAGCCCCCTCAGTTCCTTTTCTGCCAGGCAGCTTTCCAGCCACTCGCCCTCAAGCCTTCATGTTCCTTCTCCTACTCCTTTTTTCCCTTTTCCTCCTCCTCTTTCTCCTTCTCTTCCAGCTTTTATTCTTTTTATTCTTTTGTTAATCTCTTCCTCCTGATTTTGTTCATTTTTGGTTTTTTGTCTTTCACTTTCCGATATTCTTCCCTCTGGTCCTCTTTTCCCATTTTATTCTCATCCAGTTCCTCCTCCTTTTCTCCAAACGACTCTTCCTCTTCCTCCTACATGTTTATTCCTGTGTCTAGACAGACTTAGTGCCAAACAATAAAGTGCTAACAGCTGTTGCTCAGGAAAGAGATTCTACAATTGTAATTTTGAAAATAATTCTGTTGTTGGTGTTTTTTTGTTGTTGTTTTTTTTGCTTTGTTTTTGTTTTTGTTCTTTTTCTTTTTAATGCATGTGTGAGCAGGAGTCACACAACTTTTTCTCTCTGTTTTTGGCCCAGCTCAGTCTCATCCATGCTAAAAGTTAAACCTGGCAAAAAAATGTAGGCTGGAATGTAAATAAAAAATGTGCTGATTTTAATATAAAATCTGGAATTCCAGAAGAAATATTCAAGTATCCATGTAATCAATGACTGGCAAGATAATATAACTAACTGCCAATCCAAATTACAGTCAGGCAGTGTGGCACGTTCCCAGCTGTACTCTTGCCTAGACTCTTTCTATAATTATTAGACCCATTTTTATTGTTTCCAGAGACTGCATTATACTTTCTATGGAGTCTACACTAATGAGTGCTGCTTTGCTTCTGCTCTGCTCCTGGTTCTAATGTTAGAGACAGTACTTCTGTTTCTTGGATACATTATCAAAACAAGTATAGAAGGCTCATTATCATAAAATCTATGGCATGGAAAATAATCAAATGTTAATGTTTAGGATGTGGTCCAAAGTTCTGCTCGCTTTCTCTCATTCACTGAAGACAAGGAGAGTGTTTAATAAGCCAGGCAGGGTTTGGCTCCTATGATAAATGGTGATCTGGTCCTACACAGGCTAACTAGTTGTATCACATTAAAAAAATGTAAAGGATAAAGCTAATTGAGATCACCCTCTGCCTCAGCTGCAAATAGAAAATGAAGTTAAGGGTGCTGACTGAATGATAAAAGATCTGTAAACAAAAGAAATGAAAGTTTCATGTACTATGCTCATATTTATCTCATAGGGACAACAACATATATCTATACGCTTGTAAAGTACACTACAATAGATATTGTCTTTTTCAAATAAACTGTAAACTAGATGACCAAAGAGTATTGTAAACTAGGTAGGTGGAGATTGTCACAGCTAGGAACTAAGCAAACATAATGAACAGCCTGTTACTATTATCCAGAGCCTTCAAAAAGCTATATTTTCAGAAGTGACTGTCAGCATTCTTCTTCACCTCCATTAGTGAATATGTATCTGATGTTTACCTGAGTGATATGAGGCGTTTTTATTTTCAGGGATGCCTCATATATGGCCTGTTAAGAGGATGAAAATAATAAACTATTGCTAATTACCGAGGCATGCATGTGCCCAAAATATGTTTACCTGATGCAACAGATTCTGTGATGTTTAAATTGTTCAGAGAAAGCCCTAGCGACTGCCGTGATGAAGAAGATGATGTGCTGCTTGAAGACTCTGATGATGGCCGTGTGGGCTTTCCAGTATTTCCAGTCTCTGCCTTTAAACGATCATTTTCAGCTTTCAATATCTCAATTTCATTCTGTATTTGAAAGAAATGAACATAAAAGCACAGGAGATTATCCCTTCAGAAAACAACTGGGGGTGGCTATTCTTGCTATTTTTAATGTAGGAACTAACTGGTCTACTACTTTCACAGCAGTGTGTATTACTATTTATCAGTACTCTAACATAATCAGTGAAAACTGGATTGCCCTCACTTCTGAAATGAAGAAAAAACCCAACCCTAAAACCTTGTTTCAGCTTTTGCCTTAAGGCAGTTCCTAAACAACATAAGCTTCAAGTGTCTGTGGATTTTGTATAGTTGACCATAATATAAGTGTGGTGAGAATTTTCCCAGCTATCCCCAGTTTCATAAGCTATTTTCTATTGTCAAATATCTTAGGAACGAGTCAGTTAAGAAAGTTACTGTTAAAATCTTGCATATGTCAATATTTCTAAAGTCACAGAAAATTTATTTCTGCCATCAAATGCAAAATTTAAGCAGTGACTTCATGGAGGAGAAATTAAATTAAAAAAGGACAATTAAATATAGATTGCTTAAGTTTCATAACCCTTCTTGCTATTAGTTAAGACTTTTTGATCATTCTAACATGGGATTGTTCACATAACAGCCAGCAAACCCTCTTTGATGAAAACATACAGTGACAGATGAATCAGAACAACTAGGAATTTTTTTTAGCTAAATCCTCTGTGGTGCCAAGTGATTATTGAATGTACAATAATAAAATGAAAACTTAGCCTGAGAACAGCCTGGTACCAGCTAAATCTAGCTTTCAGTCGCTTCATGAAGCACAGTACAAAGCAACTGCTTATTCTCGCAGAAGGTTTTGCACATCAAATTTAATTCCACATTCATTAACACTCTGCTAAAAGTCCTATTTTTTCATGAAGGCTGTATCACTACATTATACAAGTAAAAACATAATGGACAGCATCACAAAAAAACCTCCAACGGCTACAAAAATCTTAGATCATATAGGAAAGGTGAGGAGATGATAACGAAAGGTTAGGGACAGAGCAGCAAAACAGTCACAGAAGGTAGTTGATGACTTCACCAGTTTAGTCTGGGGTTCAAATCAGGAGCTATGGTGAAATGAGTCATGCAATTTCCTCCTACTCTGCAGTTTAAACCCATGAATTACACAACTCTTAGCAGTACTCCATTCAGCTGAGCTTTAGATTTTTAATGTGCTTTGAATACACACAGTATTTGCATATCAGTCCCACCAATCCTACTTTTTCCCCTTACCGATCCCATCAATTCTCCAAAATGTCACGGGTTTTGTTTGGTAACTTTGAGGTGGCTTCATGTCCTTGTGGGAAAACTTCAGAAGTCATGATTATCAGCAATGGCATCTGAACCAGTTGTCTCTGACTAGCTTTGGTGAAACTCAAATTTTAGAGGCCTGTGACTACAGCAGACTCCTCTCTTCAGGGAGTTCACCTAGTTCAGGCGTTCATATCCCAGGGTAAGACTGTGATCAGCTGATGAGCCTTTGTGTCCTGTTCTCCACCACTGAGATCAACTGCATTCTGTCTCTCAACAGTTCTAAAAACTTTCCAGTGGCTCCAGAACAAATACTTATGTCTGGACCATTGAAATAGTTATTTACAGACCGTTTATTGATTATTGTTTCACCTTAATTGAAATTCAGCCAAATATCCTATAGCAATATTGGCACCTGGCAGTGTGAGCACCTGGGAGGATGGTGGGTGCCATAGACATTTAAAGGTGACAGTGACACTGCTACTGGCATGGTATAAACAAAGGGATCTAGAAGAGGCAGCAAGCATGGTAGTTATGAAATCAGCTGCTGTGGATATCTACACAAAAGTGCCTACAAGGGCACCTGACCTAAGCACGCAGCACAGAGCAATTCAGCCGACAAGCCACTGCGGCTGGATTCAGCTGTGTGAATGTGGGTTTGCAGTGTCACTGTCGACACGGTCTTCCATGGATAGAATGCTAAACAAGTTCTGTGCAGATGTAAATACCTGAGGCTAGTTCAAATGGTAAAAGGCCCCTATGTTCAAACAACTTATTTTCACCCTCAACACCCCTTAGGATGATTTTAGGATAGCTTTCTAGGTGTCACTATTGGAGGACTAAAACCCACTTGGCTACAACAGGAGTTTATCACCTAACTCATACCTAGACTTCTAAATGTAGCTGTTCTAGTATCAGCTTGAATCCTCACCCCATGGCCTTGATTCTGATTCCCAAACACAGGTTTATAGTGTCTTCAGGGATGTCCTAGGTATCTCACCTGTCAGTCCAAAAGGGCCCAGATATACTGAAAGATCTATGTCACACACTGTGAATGTTGTAGATATTTTGGGGCACCCAGCATGGTACTAGACACTTGTATGTGGGCCAGAGAGCTGAGTCTCATAAAGCTCCGTGCTCCACTGAAGAACTGCCATTCTCTCTGCATCCTTTCAGCCTCACAAAAGTCTTCTCATGAAAAATATGTTCAGGAAGATTTTGGAGCAGTGTCACAAAACGTAGTCAAATTATAGTGTTGCTGGATACAATAATTTAGTTCAATTTTACATTCTTTGCTTTGGCATGTCATGACTGGGTTAGGAATCAGAAATGATGAGAGAGTATGCACATATACCCCTACCCCCACCATAGCCTAAGGATTTAAAGCTCTATATAAATCACTTTTTGATCAGCTTGTCTGTCATGTTGCTTTCCCCAGTCATAGGGTTTAGATAACAAATATCCCTTGGGCAGGGATTATCTCTCCTTTCATCTCTCTTAAATCCATTTTAGCTATTAATATATTTACTAGGAATATCATTATTATAAGGCGAAAACTTATCATACTCATCCTTTGGAAGTACTGTTGATCTAGCACTTTACTTGGCATTGATAGTTTTTCGGTACCTGAAACAACGCACTGGGAAAGGAAATATATGAGGCATACCTTTGGTGTGCACCCCTGTCACCAGTTAAGTGACTTCACTGACCTGCATGCGGTTCATGGCTTCCCGAATCTGATCCAGATGGTGTGCAGAGCTGAGGGCTTCAAGACGAATGTCTGTTAACTTTAGCTCTTTCTCCCTCAGCTCGCTCTTCAGCTGAAGAATAATTTCAGCTTCTGCCTCTGTGCACTCACAGATCCTAAAGAGGAGCAGAAAATAGGCAGGAGATTAAAGGAAGGTTCTCCCCCCTACAGCAGTGTCATTACTAAATATCAAAGTACAGAAAATGCCTGCTGCTGGTGAAACCTATGAATGAAGAAAGAATCTTATAAAAAAAAGCATTAAAAGATTCACACTGCAAATTAAAAAAAAAGGAAAAAAGCCCTCTCCAGGTGAAATGATCAGCTTGCCTTATACCTTTCCAGTTCAGCTAGATAGCTCACTATAGTGAAAAAAAGTTGTTAAAAATTTTACAAAAAAACTTTTTCCTTTTTTTCAGTGTGTATCACCCATTGGTTTTTATTTGATTTTATATCTGCATCATTTCTTTGGTGCTAAGTTTATGACTTTCCTAAGTAGCAATAGTCTTAACTGAAGTACACTGTACTACTGATATTTGGGGGCTGGTTAGCTCAATCGGTTAGAGCATGGTGCTGATAACACCAAGGTTGTGGGTTCGATTCCCCTTCGGTCCCCGTGTGTTGCCTGATCTAGTTGAGATGTGGCGTCCCTGCCCATGACAGGGAGGTTGGATTAAATGATCTCTAAGGTCCCTTCCAGCCTAGGCCATTCTATGATTCCATGATATTTATTACCTGTTAGGCATCAACATTTTTCTCTATTTGGACCAGTACACACAGAGGCAGTCCTTATCTTCATGATCTAGAAGTTTTGTATCTGTAATGGTTTTGATATGTGATGTTTGACTTTTTACCTATGGTCTGTCATTTGGTAATGGATGATATCTAAAATAATTCTGTTTGGTTTAGCTGTTTGTTTTTTTTTCCTTGATTAAAAGTAATCACCTTGTGATTATTTCACGAGCATTAATTATAATGGAAAAAAACCATTATATTGTGAGAAAAGATCAAAACATGACTGGCCTAGGGACATACAGCTCTTCAGTTCTCATGTTAGACTGTTTTGCCCCTCTCTATGTCATCACCATACCTAGATCTGTTGCATAACAGAACCAGTAGAATATCAAACACTGAATTTTGGCTGTGTTGTTACACTAAGCAATATTTTAAGTCACTAAATGTTATTTGTTCTTAACAACCATCATATAAATAGTTATTATTTGAAGAACAATTTAAATATGAAAAAATATTTTATAATAATAAGTATTATTATATACAAACAAGAAACAAAGGTCAACTTTTAATTGCCAGAATGCATGCAAATGCATTTTGGGAAAGAAGATACAGCACTCTTCAGGTCAGCAGTTGGGTATACAACTCCATGCCCCACACTCAGTTTTACCGGGATCTATGCTTGTAGACCACGTGACCGTTTTGCCTTTTCTTTGGTGCCCAGACTAGAGATGACCTGCATACACACGTATTAGACAGATGCAATTGGAAGAAAGTAAAGGTAATCGTTTAGAACATGAGATTTGGGTCTAGAAAATATTTAAAGAAAGAATAAGCAAAGGGAAGATGAAGAATTTCATTGCAAATAAAAAATTATTGCAAATTGGAGAAGGAAAATAATGAATACCATTCACAACATGCGCAAATATTTTAAATGTAAGTAAAAATTAATAAAGGCATACACTAGGATTTTTTTTTCTAAATATTATGGTACAGTTTCTGGTTTGATACGTCCATACTTATGCTAACCAAACAAGAAATGAAATTTTATTTACACGTATATGTTATCTCATACAATTACTCGGACAACTGGGAATTCATCTATTTGTGAGCTATTTTCTTTTTGGCTTTTTTGCAAGTGCATCTTGGGAAGTAATGGACAAAAAGACCTTGGCAAGCCATCTTTAAGAAGATAAAACTGAAGCAGAAAGGAGGGCTCCAGTTCTGCCAGAAGCAGGATAAAGCTGTCTAGACTAGTAAGAAAAGCAGAACATACAAACTGATTTTTCTTTTATGGGTTCCAGAGCTCTTCAACTCTTATCTCCTACAACTGTAAAATTATATAAAAAAGATGAGACTTTCTCAAAAGGAAGTAAAACAAAAAAGTCAGTGCTCTTGAGAAGTCACACAAAGAAGTTCAGAATTCTGATCAGACTTCAAGGCAAGAGTTCAAAGTTGTTAAAATGAGTTTTGGTTTTTCTTCTCATCACAATCTCAAGTTTTTTTAATCAGTAGTAGTACCTTGGCTAGAAGGAGTAAGTCATGATTTTTAAACAGAGGTTGCTGACAGTTATGAAAAGTCATGAAGGTGACAGAAGCTTAAATTATGCAACGGAATACCAAGTCTTCTAAAGAAAGTAATATTATCAGTTTAATAGACATAGAAATTAATCTAAATAAATACATTTTACGTGATCTCTTTGTGGAAGGGAAGAAATATATGTTATCCTTTGCAGAAAGATCACAACACAAATACAAAAATACAATAAAATTATCAGGAAGATTAGTGTTTTAAAATATTATGGAGGAAGAATTAGAAGGCTGTCAACTGAACAGAATTTAGGAAGTTAAGGCTCAGAGACCAAACAGCCATTGGAAGAGGTTGGGAGGAAAGACTAGATATGTAGTTTTGTCACTGACAAATTGTGGGAAGATCAGTACCTCTAGACAGCAAGTCAAAGAGACAGAGATAAAAAACGAGGTTGATGGAAAGGAAATAGGATAAGGTTATGAGACCAGATCTGTGAATAAAGAGTAAATAATTTTGTAGAATAATTTTTTTTTGTTTTAGTTCAGGCACTTTCTATTAAGGCTTTTATGAGTGACTTTTAAGTTGATAATAAACCAGACTCAAGGGTACCAGATATGTAGAAATCCTACTCCCAAAACATAGATATACCTGAAATCATAAAAACATAAGCTTCCTATAAAAAAGCCAATGAACCTAGAAATCTAGATGAATTATTTCTTGTTAGTCTGCACTGAATAAGTGGAAAGAAAAAGATTTATTGTGGAGGGATTGCTTTTGTGAGAATATTTGTGGTCAGACTCCTAAAGGTAGTATATAAAAACTGTTAGAATCTATAAAAAGTTAATCATAAAAGGCACCTAATGGAATGAAAAAAGGCACAGGGAAATTCTATTGTAAAGCTCGTAATCAGTCATGAGACTAGAATTCCCTGGATGCTTTAAGGAAGAGTAGTTCTGACCTGATTATTCTCTATTAAAACAAGAGAAGTAAGGCTGACATCAGTAATACATATTTGTTGGTTCAAAGAAGTTGAGTTCCACAAACTGGAAAAAGTTATGAGTTTAGCAGAATGAAAAAAAATGAACCAGGTAGAAGAACATGAATGGGAGATGAGAATTCTGTAAGAAGATTATATTAGACATGCAAAAAATAGTGAAGAAAGGGGACAGCTTTTGACTTTTTACTTGTTCTCAGTCGTGAAAGTTTAAGGATGGTGATTTGAAGTAAAAAGAAAAGGAAAATCCTTCAAAAAACATCCAAGCTGATAAAAGAGGAGCAGTAAGTTAAAAATTGTATAAATTAGTAGCTACAAAGTAGATACAGTAATAATAGAAGGGATGAATATCTTGTCAAAAGTCATAGCTACCTGGAAAATAAAACAACATTTTTAGTATGTCATGAAGAAAGGGAACTGTAGTATTTCTTCTTTCCTAAGTGGATACTACAAAATTGTTAATGGTGTGGGGAAGGCACAACATAAGCTTTTGGATATATATTTAGAAAGAAGTTTGTACTCCTAGATGATTTTGGGTAAAGGCTGTGGAGAAGGAGAGAACGACCAAAGAAAACTTTGCTGCAGAAGTAGTGTTTAATGGAGCGAAGCTCACGAGAAATCTGGCAAATGGATGGAGCACGAGATTAAAAGATTACAGCTGTTGGCAATGGTTTCTGAACTGCAAATGGCCACACCTGAGGAGGTCTTTCATAGTCCATCCCATTTAGGAAGAAAGGTTTGCCAAGACAGACACTTACGCAGATGCTGACTGTGATGGCTTCATTGACGTTGTCCCACACTCTCCTGAGCTGTGGGGCAATTTGGGTGATGAAGGAAGAGAGGAGTCTGTCTGCTCTTCTATGTCTGAATGCGAGGAAGGAGGCTTGGTGGACTTCTTCTTTCCAAAGGCCTGTTTGAAAGAGCTTCTTAGCTGGAAAACAAACACATAGCAAGATTATTTCTCTCGTCATGGTAATTTGTGTGCAGCTCATGTTTCGAAGAGTTAGTTTGCAGATGCCATCCTAGCCGCTGCCTGAGGTCAGTATACAGAAGCAAGGTATTAACATATGCAACACAGTATCTCTAAAAACATGATACAGTGCTTTGTTTTGACTTGATTAATCCAGCACAGCGCAAACATAATGCTATGGGAAAAGTGCAGGAACAAGTGGCACAGCTATGGGAGAGGGGTGCTCATTTAAAACCATTAAGCCCCAGGAGAATCCCATTCCCATGGCATTCCCTGCAAGGGCTGGCTTTAAATAACCACTTTGCATCCAGGTACAGGCATGTTACTAAATGCTGAAGTCAGAAGAAAATTGCAATTTACTGGGTTTGTCAATTTACTTTCCCCATTAAAAATCTGAACGTCCAAACTGTGCAAATGCTATGTTTTGGATCACAAGCAAGAGGATTTAAGCTGGGACATGAGGCTTGCTTTGTTGTACTGCTTAGAAGAATGTTAGCTGAAAGGTATATACTCTTTGCTGCAGTGTCCTTTAGAGTAGTAAGACCTCTGAACGTGCAAGCATTGCCTTTTCCCTCTAGAAGCCCTTATCCAGTATTGAAAAGGGACAGAATAGCCAAAGAGCCATTTATTTCAGGAGCCAAGACGACAACAGTTTTGTCTGCAGTGAATTTTAACTAGACCATTTGTTGATACCTTTGCCTAAATACAGAAGTTGTTCATCTTAGGAAAAACGTGGTTGGTTTTTGTGTTTTATTTTCAGAAAGTTATTCTGATTAAAATCGTATAGAGCTCAATGATAAACTTGTTCCTCAGTAAAAAATGAGGTATTCAAACATGTTATTTTCATGATATAATTGGAGAGTGGGGAGTGTGACCACTGATTACAGAAACATTATTCAAGTCCTTTCCAGCTCATGATATCTAAAGAGAAAGAAATGGATTTTGGCTACACTCCCCCTTCCTATAGTCTAAACTTGGAAATTAAAATGAATAGAGACGAACTGAGAAGACATACAGGATAATCTGTTTTTAGAAGGTATAAAAGCCTACTGCCAAAATAAATAGCAATCATGCCAAGATAGGGTTCTTTATAGATGCATGCCAAATTTTCCATGGTTTATATTCACCTCACTTCCTCTAGAGTTCACCTTGCAGAAACATGAAAGAGTGTGGAATTACAAATCAAGGGAATGAAGGCTGATCAGTATTTTAAAACAAATGTTTATGCAGGTAATATTTTTAAAACAGTAAAAACATATTTTTCAATAATTTACTGAAAGTATTTGATTAAACACTTAGCACTATGTGGCAGTTGTGTGTTCCAGCCTAGAAGCATCTTAATTTATTAGAACACCCTACTACTTTTACATGAGAATTCTTCACAAATTTCAACCCACTTCATAGCTGGGCAACATATTTGAGTCAAGCCTTTGAATCAAAATTTGACTGAAGAAAAATCAAAAAGGGTTTCAGTGTGGCCCAGAGATGGTTTTGGTCACAACAGTTGTTTAAAGTTTTGTTTTGTTTTTAAATTATCCTGACTTATGCAAATAATTCCCTGCTGATATTCAACAATTTTTTCAGTTTGCTGGTAGTGTCACAGTATGGATACACATGAATTGCTTTGCATCCATCTGGCCCTGCAAGAACAGTGTAGATGAAATGGATCATTATGCTAGTCAGGCACTAGGAAATGACACAATAGCTAAAAGATAAGTTTAAACCTGCTGAGCACTTACCCAGTTTTTCTTTTTCTTTTTCTTGGAATCTGCGTCATTACCACTGCCAATGCTTGAATGGCTTGTAGCACTGTTGATGCTGGAAACACTTTCTGAAGAATGTTGCCGCCTTATACGTAAATCTGAACAAAAGAAATTACTGTGAAATCCATCTGTCTCTGCAGCAGTATAATAATAATTCTTGTATTGATGTAGCATCTTCCTGCTCAAAGGTAGTCTAAATCAGTATAAAATAATATCAATGCTTGCAGTGGCTCAAATTCAAGCTATTGCAGCCTGTGAGAAACCACATGGGGCTCAACGGGGACACATACAATTAGGCTAACAAATAGAAGCTTCTCCAAACTGGGGTCTTACTGGCGTGAAGGCAACAACCCTGCACAGCAATCTATGTAGGCATAACCTCATAGTTAAGCAGCTTCTGTTACAGATGGATTACTTGAGTTATCAACTATCACATGTGCTACAGTTCTTTCTTCAGAGGAGTGTAGGCACTACTTGACTCCTAGCAGGTCTAATCAGCGTTCATATGCTACCTTCTAACACAATGTGATGGAAATAAACAGGCAGCAGTTCGTTAAAAATGAATGAAACAAAGTAAGCAAGAAGTGGAGAATATTAGAAATGGTTTGTGAGGCTTTTGAGTTGCGATTTTTTAAAACACTCTGGTAACTGTATCTTAATCATTGGAAAATATTCTTGCAGAACATACCCACTAATACCAAGGGAAATTACTTTTTAGATTATTTTTTACCTTCTAGAAGTCAGCTTTGTTATACTCACATCATGCAATGAAATGTCCTTAAGGCAAACATCTAAATAATGACCTCTTTAAAGAAAAATCAATGATACTCTTGAAAATGAATGCTGCTATTATTTTTTTTTCTTCAAGTAATTCCCTTGCTCTTGCTTATCAACAGGCACCTTTGAAGTATATATTTATCATGTGACATCTGCCTAACTGCAATGACAAATTAATTCAGAATCTGGAATTTAAAATGCACACTTTCCTGCACTGATTTAGCACCTCATGAAGGAGCTGAGTACACCAATTTTCAGAGCTACAACTTAACACCAGATTTCCACTCTATAACTGTCTTTCACCATAAGACTTCACTAGAGTCTTGGGTGTATTTCAGTACACAACTGTAGTGATAGGGTTAACTCTTGACACCCAGCAATCAGTTCCTGGCCACCCAGTTCTGAGAAGAAAAGGCTCCAGGAACTCTGGCAAACAGGAAGCTCATGCAAGGTTTCCAGCTCTGGAAATACCACAAGTATGCCTACCATGCACTGCAGAATGTGCTTGCCCTTGCAACACAAAGCAGCAGAAAAGTAGTGTCTTAGCCCTTTTTTCTGGGGACAAACACTGCATTTATTTTAATAGTGACAAAAACATACCTTTGTGGGTATGATCAGGACCATTCAAGGCTCCTTGAATAGCAGCTTGTGCAGCAGAGTTCTGGGCTTTTAGCATTTCGATGGTTTCCCTTAGCTCTATAAGCTCGGATTCCTGTGGGAAGAGCAGAGACTTCAAAATATATGGCACAAGAACAATGTTCGCCTAAGCTAAAAAAATTACAAGATTAGAGTTGTCAAACCAAAGTTCATCGGACTGCTTGGGTAAACATACAAGCAACAAATAAGTAGAATGTACATTTTGTCTCCAAAGATATTAAAACTTGTGTATTCTTTTGCATTTATTCTATATGAAGCAGTCATGTTATTTTTAAGAACAATTTTTTTAAAATGAAAAATAATCTAAAAAGGGTCTCAATTCATTATAAAGTTAAGAGAAACCAAATCATTTTATTGCAAAAGAAAATAAGACCATTTGAATTACATACTTTAGTATATGAGGCTACTGTTTAATGGATGAATCTTAACATGAGATTGTGTATTTTTTCAGAAGATTTAACTTGCTAAATAATAAATCAATTTTAAAACTCCTATTTATTAGCAACTGTTCTGCAAGTTAAATTACTCCACTTGAGCGCAGAAAGTTCTATACCCGAATGCATAGCCAATTTTAATTAAAAAATAGCTTTTATTACTGCTGCATTAAAACTGTCCTTCCAGTCTGTATTTATATAATGAGGATTAAAGGAATTTAATCTCGACAACAGAGAAAAGAAGAGAAGGAAAAGAATTTGTTTTAAATCTTTTGGGAAAGAAGCTTGGAGATTATCTATTTCTGTTCTGGGAAGAAAACCTTCTGAGGGAAAACACACTTTGTAAAACAGTCACAAGTTTTAGTTTTAAGAAAATTCCATTGTGGGTTGTTTTTTTTTTCCTTAAGATGAAAATAAGCAAACAATACAAATATTTTCTATTCAGTTCACAATGAGCCCTGCCGTATTTCACCCATTCTTGCTCAACTGGACTGTGAAATTTTATTTTTATAGCCAGCTACACTGACTCCAGTGGTGACTAATAGCCCACTGATATACAGTTTCATTCACAGTTTGGCTCAACAAGGATTTGCCATTTATAGGACACTATTCAAAATGAATAAGGGCAGAAAGTTACAGAAATTCAGTCCTGGAAGGTGCTAAGGAGCCTCTTAATCCTAAGCTTGGTGCAAAGACTTACATTAAATTTACTACCTATCAGGTTTAGATTTCTTTCCCCAATAATCAAAAGAGCACAGTGAAAACCAAGACTGTTTACTCATGAATAGGATACCCAACCTGCATTAACTCTCTGAACAGAGCAATTTTTCGCTACTTAAAGTTCTTCCCTTCCCATAACTTTACCATTCTGACAATGCCGACAGGCTAGAATGAAGTAGTCCAGCAGGCTATGATCCGTCTTTGTTACAGGATCTTTCAATATGGATTAAACTTATGTTTTAATTAAAATCTGGAAATGGAAGATTTTATCTTCAAACTATTCTATGATATTGTCTGTGTAAACCTGATGCTGCATAGTTTAATTCTCCTAGAGCTTTATGAAGATTTGGTCTCAACAGCCATTAAAGAAAGATCTGCCTGTCTTACTGTCACAGCTGTCCCTGATTCCTTTCAGTGTTTTTTTAAACAAATCTCTATAGAATCTGCCGATTGTATTTCATATTAAAGTATCTGCTTTCGTAAACGTACCTTTTGTTCAGCTGTCATTGTTAGACTTTGCAATCGGCCGGTCATATTTCCTAAGCTTTTTTCAAAAGCTGCTACTAGATGAGCCTGTGAAAGAAACAGAAGACAACATTCATCATGATCTCAGATCTATTTGGGTTTTAAATTTTTTTTTTCCCCTCCAAGTTCACCTCCTCCAGCTCTTTTCTATTAAACTCAGACTGAGGTAACTTGGGACAGCAGCCAAGCGAGCCCAGTCAGGCTTCTCTAGCCCCCAAGGAGATAAACTCAGGTATCTCTGTCTGGAAATGAATTATGGATTTTATGCCCTGCCTTGAGTTTACTGATATATTGACCAAAAGAAGCCTTCTTCCAAACAGAACTCGGGGAACAATTATTTTCAATTACTGACCACTTCAAAATGGGAATTTATCTTAAAAGGTGACTTTTAACCTCACAAAGAAAACACTCCAGAGGAATTCTGAGACTCAAACAAAAATATGATAGTGATAAAAGGTCATTACTTTATAAAAGGTCATTACTTAGTATATTCATCTTATATTGATAATATATGTGTATGTGTTGTATGTTTAAAAGTAACCAAAACCTTATATAGAATACAAATATAGTATTTAAACACGAGTGCCAGTGACTACATATAATGAACAATCTTGAAAGCTGGAAGTCCTACTTCCAATAAGAAAAACAACAAAGCTGAAACTGATTAAAAGATTTTTTAAAAATGAAGTTTCATGCTGTTTTCTAAAAACATTCACCCTATATGCAAGTTATACAAACAGTACATCAGTTCTTCATTGGTTCCAAGTGGTCTTAAAGAAACCAAAAAGCTAAGCGAGCTTGTACAGCCAAGGGAAAGTAAGAATCTAATATTTATGGATTCCATTAAATTTTACAAAATTTCATGCCCTCTTCTCCCACACCAAATAGTAAAAGCAGAGGGTCATACTTATTTTTTCTTTACCATCTCAAAAGTGGTAATACGCAAAGTTTTGAAGCATAGGCACGACAATACACTTGAAAATGTAAATCACAAACAACATACTTGTATACAAAAATGGATTAACTGAGCTTCCTCACCAAGAAAATTTATTTTTTATTATATCAATAAAGGCACACACAGTGCCTGGCAAATTTTTCAGTTACAGATTTGCATGCTTATACAAGCATAGTTGAAATCGTTCAAATGTATGTGGTTGTACTGAATCTGAGGTATAATCAGGAAAAGACATAGTCCAAAAAGGATTCTGTTATGCATGGCGGGAGGGAAGGAAAAGAGCTTTTTGCCAACCTCGCTCAAATAAAAGAAGATCATATACATAATAGTGGCCCACTTTTGCACTTCCACTTCAGAGCTGTTATACTGATAAGTGGCTTCTGTGTTTTGCAAATCACTTTAGATTGCTATAAACATTTCAGGATCTTATAAACTCCTTATACTTATTAAACTTGCTACAATTTTACCCCTTGTAAATTATATAAATAGCAACTAATTTATTACTTATGGGTGTAGTGGGTTATTCGCCTGCTTTCTGCATCTGCAGGGATGCCTTAGGAATAATTCCTTTGGTAAAGGATACATACCCTGTGTACTAAATTTTGATAAACATAGGACTACATACATATGCAATTTCTTAAGTATTAATTAGTAGTTGTGTATATTCCTTTTTAAAATTTATAGTTTAGGCTTTATTCTTAAAGTAAATTCTAAGTAAATTCTTAAAGTAAATTCTAAGTAAAATGAATCTGGAATATGTACCAAATGCACCTCTGAAATGTGTTATTTTTACTATGCTATTTGGTTATTTTTACTATGCTATTCACCTGAGAAGTAAGGGCAACTTTTTTTAAACTTACTTTTCAGTTCAATAATTAGCTACATATTAAAAATATCCAGATTAATTTATGGTGTTTTATTTTCAAAGATTATCACCAGTGACCCACAACACAATCAGAGACAAAATAGATGCACTACCACAGAACTATAGCCAAATGTCTCCTCATTACATGTGTTTAACAGGAAACTAATGGTGCTCACTGATCCTTGCCTCATAAAAAAATCTAAGGCTTGGCTGATGGCCCGTGGTTCTGCTTTACCGTGAGAATAACAATGGGGACTGAGGGCTTGAAAAGAGGAATAATTTGCTTAATTATGCATTGCTTTTGTCCATTTCTCACAATTAGAGTGTGGTAACAACAGTTCTTTGGCACCTAACTATGCATATTTGTGCAAAGTACTTTCCTATTCTATAGCTGCAAATTTAGCGTGTATTGCACACGAATAAAGCAAAAGAAACTTACACAAAATATTAAGGAACTCATAGGAAAAATTAAGAACCATGAAGAATAATTTAAAATGTCCTCCAAGTTATTGTCTAATAGTCTTTAGAGAGAGACAGCCATGTCACACCTACGGATTCTTATTAAAATTCAGCCTGTGATAGAGTACGTTACCTTCTCGGAGTAGCACACTAAAATTTGTGCCTCATAAATGCAATTGGGCAAAGATGGTTGATCCTTTCCAACACATTTGAGATAAAGACTATCAGGTTTTCATATGCTAATAATAAAGAAACATAACTCAAAGGCCCACCTCTGAAAATGATTAAAGAAAAAAACCCCTCAATCGCATTTTTCACTACCTTAAACGTCTAACACAATACAATGCTCTTCTCTGAAACATAAAGTATTAATTTTATATTTGGAGTAATAAACAGTGCTGCCTTTTCCCGCAGTAGTAAATGTTTAGTTATTCAGCAGTCTAGGGAACTTCTACTTGTTGAAATCTTACGCACATTTGTTTCAGAAGGAATATTGTGTAACAAAACAATAAAAGGTAGCTTGAAAAAGGCTTAATTATCAACATATTTAGATGTTTGTGGAAGTATATATAGAACATATGCATGTATATACTCACACAAGATTATATTTTGCATTTAAATAGTTAAATGCAAAATAGTTTAAATAGTTAAATGCAAAATAATTTAGAAAACAACTGACACATAGAAAGAAGAAACTGTAAATTTAAAAGTGGTTGTTAGAAATTAAAAATTCTAATCAGATACTTCTTTTCCATTTTCAGATTTGGTAGTTGATTTTGATTGAATAGTAATCTTCAGTTTTTGAGGACTGTTTATTTTATCCAAAAGCTCCATTCTTTCATTCTTGTAAAAAGACCTAGAAGTTTTTATTAAAGTTACAGCCAATCTGTCATACCTTAGAAATATCTGTGCTACATTCAGTAGTTTCATTCATGGTATACATCATTTGAATACCATTCAAAATAGCCTGGATACTGCATGTGCTTTAAAAAACACTTATTCTAAATTAAAATATATCCTTGCACTTGAATGCCGCATTTGTACTTGGAGATAGACATACCAGAGTCAGAGTTAAGTAACTGGGCGTTACTGGAATTATGCCTACAGAAAAATACATCCATCTTTAACATGATAAACATACTAGATACACAGATGATGTACAGCTGTTAATCTGTAGATCCATCACATATGGACTAATTTTGACTTCTTTTAACTGAAATTCCTGGTGGAAATACTCAAAGAAATATATGCGCGGGGAATGACTTCAGTGCTAAGATGACAGATTTGATTTTAAACGTTTCCTTCTTAGTAAACGATCCCGGCCAGCTAAACCCCAAATACCTCAACTCTTAGGTTTCCAGCCTATCCTGAACAGGACATTGGCATATCCAAAGTATCTATCTGCTGACACGCTTGGCGATTTGACCTGCGGTGTTCAGGTTTATAAAACAGATGTAAAGCAAATAAATTTCCTCCCACCTGACACGGCTGAATGAAAGGAGGCGTGAGAGCCCAGAAGGGATCGGGCTGATTGCAAGAAGCACCTGTACATCTGCTGACCTTTTCTGTTCGTCGCCTGCTATTATCTTGTTGTTTGGCTGGAGGATAGTGGTTCAGAGCTGGCCAGACAAGAGTCCTAGCCAGCGAATTCCCTCCGCTTTCTACTGGCATCCTGGGTCTACTACAGTTTGCAAAGCATGCACCCTTCAGCTTTATACAGTACAAAGCACTGATCAAAGCCTCTCTGAACAGGCTGGGTTCAGGCTGTTCGCTGGAATTTGAGCCCTTGTCAGTCACGCAGGAAGTCTGCTGGTTGGACATTTGGCACTGAAAACAGGCCCTTTCTTAATTAGTATTGAGATTTGCCCTTTGGCAACAGCAAAACAGGCACCAGGGGAAAAGCCAGAATCTGAATCTCGGAAAAAAAATGCAAATTAAGCATCCAAACAACAGCTGGGCCCTGCTTGAATTTAATCATATGCAGGCAAAACACTTTGGGGTTAATCAAATGAAATAAACTGCTGAAATCAAGCATAGTACTTTGAGTCCAGCCAAAAACCCCTGAATAATAAATGAAACCAAATAAGAAAATTCTTAGCAGAGGTTTTCAAAATGCCTGAGAAATGCTTTAACTTCCAATTGCTAGATTTTGATAAAAAATAACATATTGAGCAAAAGCTTGCTGAAATAGGTCAAATTTCACCCTGACAGTCTTAAGGACACAGGTACTACTGCCACCAACAGTCTTCTGTGGTGAAGCAAAAGAAGACACAAATAGTGTTGAAATAAGATGAATAAGATACTCTTTTCTCTCGCACACAATACGTTTGCTCTGTTCTACAAAGGGAAATCTTTGCAACAAATTCAAGCCCAAGGTGAACTGTGACGGAGCAAGATTTATGGCTATTAATAGTTCCTTTCTCCAGACCACAGTAAAGAAAAATGTTCTGCCTGTTTTCAGATACTGAAATTATGGAAATTTGGAGGCGTTTAGGATTAAGTCTAAGATGAATGAATTTATAGCAAAGCAATCAGAAAGGACTGAGTAATCTTCTGGCCAGCAAAGGCCCTGAAGAAGACACTTTGTTCAGAGAGTCCTCTGCTTGCCAGAAATGGATGTATCAACAGAAAAGATAGGGCAGGGATCAAACTTTTTTCCACATTACACTTACTGCTCGTTCATGTTTTAGCCTACTGGCATGCAAACGTGACTCAAAATGAGGGTCACAGTAGTTTTATCCATTTAGAGAGTAAAAAATGGTTTTGATTTCTTCTCCAAGGATAAATTCCAGCTTTTGTGATTAGGACTACTTCTTCTTGCCAGGGGCTGGTGAAGTATGCCTCTCAGATTAGGAGATAAATGGCAAATGAATACATGCAAGTAAAGCATTGCTAAGGCAGTACAAGATCGCAAAAATTAGAAGCCCATCTGGCTTCTTCATAAGTTTGTCAAACCGCTTATTTATTAGGTACTCTCATATTATTTATGAAACGTATATAACCACTTGCATTTAAATATCAATTCTGTAATTAGACTAAGTTTCACAGACCATATCATAATTAAAAGGTTGTATATACACTATGTTTTCGAGATGGATTTTATTCCTGATATTTTAGTGATACTGTGTAGCATTTATCTACATAAAGTACTCAAAAGATTTGGTACTAACACATTTTTAAGTGGTCTCTTTTGATACTTTGGACTTATGTGGAAGAATTTTTTTAATGATTTACATCTTCTGTACCAGAAAGAGCAGAGAATGAACTCAGAATCAGGCTTATTGTAGAGTACTTTACAGTTTTGGGTTTTGTAAAGTATGTATCTCATGACAGTAAGCCAAAAATATTTACTTATAATATCTAGTAACATATACTTTTCTTTTAAGATTGTATTCATTGTGAAGGTGTCTAATCCCTTGTTCATGCCTGAAGAATTTGAAGGCTCTAAGTTTCATGCTCCTGACAAGTTTAATTTTGAGAGAATTTCCACATGTTAGGGATTTGGAAAAAGGAAAGATTTCTCTGGTACCATTAAAAAACCCTATGTGCTAAAAGGATCAGCTTTAGGGTTGCTTATACGTTTAGAGTTTAAAGAGTGTCTCCATGGAGATGGATTAGAAGGTGAGTGACACAGCTAAAATAACATGATTAAATTAACCTTCATACAACATATGGCGTGCATGCATACACACAGATCTATATGTATACACACAAGCACATACAGGTTTACAAATGTGATACTTTCAGATAGGCAAAATCAGATGCAAGTGTGTATTTTTTTTTAACTGTCCTGTTGAAAAATGTTACCCTCCAATTAGATCGTGACAAATACTATGGCCACTCTTACTAGGTGTTCAGAAGCCCAGAGGCTTCTGAACCAATATCAGTTATACAGACTAAACCAAATTTATATCTCCTCCATGCAGCAGAATTAGTTTGAGTGAAAACTAAGTCAAAGTGTAACTGCCAGTTTTTAGCTTGCCTCAGTTTCTTTAAAATATGAACCACATCTAAACATAACCTGGAGCCAACTTTGAAAATTTGCCTAGAGTAGGTAAACCTATTCAGAAACCAGTCTGTATGGTGTTTACTACGTGCAAAGGAATACTGGCCAGAGACATAGTCAATGACTTCCAAATAACACTGGGGAGAGACTGGGCACAATTTGCCCAAACAAAGCAAACAACAGCCTCATTGCCTCGGCTGCAGAGCAGGATGCCCTGGCATCCTCATGTGATTGCACTTGTTTCTGTATCGCTGGCTACAGCATTACCAGGGTGACTGCAAAAGGATGCAGACTAAAAAGAGTCATCTTCCAACTCCCTTTCAACACATCAGCAAGAAGGAATATGCTGATGCTTTCTGTTGGGAGCCCACGGAAGGAGAGAAGGGCAAACTGCTTTTCTGCCCACAGAGTAAAGTGAGGAACGGTACCAAGAGCCCGAGTTACCACCGTCTGAGTGGCTCCCACACCAGCTCTAGTACAGGCACCTGAGCACAACCCAGCACAGGTAAACAATTAAGTCCTACTGGTGTGGCACCACTGCTCAGAATCACAGAATAGTTTGGGTTGGAAGGGGTCTTTAAAGATAATCTAGTGCAGCTCCCTGGCTGTGGGCAGAGACACTTTCCACTAGACCAGGGGCTTGCAGAAACCAAGCTATCTCCTTTGGATGACACCAGCTGCTGCCATGTAGGCATGAACAAGGCACTTAGAGTGGATGTGGGGATGTCTGTGACCGTGCTGTGTCACAAGACCAGCCACAGCCCACCTCCCTGTGCTCCCCTCTGCCAGGCAGAGTGGCTGCAGCCTGGGGTTCTTGGTAGAAAGAGGAGTGCCCTGCAGAGAACAACAGACTTGTTAGTAGATACGAGGCATGCTGGCTTAGCTCTTCTGACCTCTTGGTGTTGGTTTTAGTTTGTTGCGTTCAGGGTGGGTGAGTGAAGAACTGCCCATGCAGGCAAGGACGATCAGTGCCTAAAATAAATGAGTGAAGGAATCCCATACCCAGAATAGGCATAAATAACCCAACTGAGAAGCTAGCTTTTGAATTTCCAAATATTGCAAAGATTCCGATACTGTCTGCTTCATTTGTTCATTCTCAGAACTCAGAACAGATTGGCAACCACACCGCTGCAGAGGTACAAATACAGGTGTTCTACAGCCACCTCAACAGAGCAGAAAGTGTTGAGAGGAGCTCATCCACTTTTTTCACATCTGGCAGTCCTAAGAGAACAATCAGCTTTCACATAGCTAGAGATTACTTTCTCACAACACAAACAATACTTCACTGACTGAAACTATTTCTTGAAAATAGTGGCAGTATTTATAGATCTAAACAGTCAGTACATCCACATTTTGAAGAAAGGCAAGATATCAGGACCAAGATATCAGGAAACTGTTTTCTTGAAATGCAAAATGATACTCTCTTGCAATTGCATCTCAGCTTTCCTTGGAAATAGTAACTATAGTTATATTTGGAACTGCGTTTAAAAATCACTATACAACAGATTATTCAGTATCTATTCAGTAACTCCATCTGAAACTATAGTAACCAGACAGGATTGTAGCTCACATCCCTTATCTGGAATCATTTTCTGATAACATGTTCAGTAACTCATGTGACAGAACACCAGGAAGCTCTCAATTAAATAGTCCAGTTTCCATTAGTTATATATCAGCACAGTTACTGCAGCATAGGATTTCCACATATAATTGTATTCTGTGCTTCCCTCCACATCTATTTGTGTTTTTAGGGTTTATCTTTGTGAAAAAAAACTATAATGAACTCTATCAGAATCTGCAATTCATGCAATTTCCTTGGTTGTCTCTCCTTACTTCGGGTCTTTTTTCCTAATTGATTCTCAGGAAAGAGTGGAACTGAACTTGGTAAGACTGTTGCCACACCCAAAGTCTAGAAACAGTCTTGTTTCCACTGTGTTTGATTACAAGAATTCTTCTGCTTGAAATTGAGGCAATAGAGACAATTAATAAAATAACTGTTTTTAAACCACCAAAATAAATAAATAGCAAAAATCTCCCAGGTCATGTGTTGAGTAAGATCTATTAGCCAATCTGATATATATTCTCTGACACTGTTTACGATTACAAGTAAAAATACTTACATTTGCTGAAAGCTGAGATGTAAGGGTAGCAACTTTCTCTTGTGATGCAACCAGCTCTCTCCGTAGTTTCTGAATTTGCTGGAAAAAAACCCATAAACCTGCTGTTAGTATTTCAGCAATTTCCTTTTCCTATGTCTTTTGTTTGTTTGTTTTCTTAAGGCATCCTTAATAGGTTTACAATGTCTTAGTTTCACACTTTAACATCAGAACTATTCAGAAAAACAAGTAGTTAGAAGTTGGCAGTGCTGCTGTCACCATTTTCTTGCACTTAGCCAGTGTATGAGCTCAGATCCCACCCAGTTAAGGGAACACATATGGGTAAATGCTCAATTACTTCATAGGTACCATTCTTTGCATATGTAAATGTCATGGTTTTTTAACAAGTTTCATAAGTTTCAAACATGTCTTTAGAGAAGTCGATGATAGCAGCCCTGGATGAAGTCTGAGATTATGAAACATGAACAAATCTGGGTGAGTTCGCTGTTCCTCACTGTAGACATGATGCAACCAACATGTTAAATATCTACATTAGACTCAGATAAAGTGCCAAAATACTCCCCCACTGCCTAACATGAAGAGGGCTTTGATGGCTAGCTACAGTATAGATTTTTGCTTCATGGATATCTAAGGTTAGATGAGAAACAGTAATATTTTTTGTTTCTCTAACACAATAGTTCCTATGGTCCATGCAATTCAAACATGCAGCTTCTTTAAACCTCATATACTATTAAAAATCTTGCTTGTCAACTTAAAAAAATAAATGTAGCTTTAAATGTGATGGTTGACATGAAAATAAACTGAATTCAAGGCTCTTGTATCCTTAATGAAAAACAGAAACCTTAAGAAAATATCTGTTCACATTTCAGCTTGGACAGATATCTAGAATTAAGCTTGCTTATCATTTTAAGCTTATTTAACCCTGTTTGAGATCTTTCAGGGGCTCCAGGCATCGCACTGAACTTAAGCACAGCATGGAGTTTCTCTTTGAAATCACTTTTCATATTCAGGCATAAAATAAATTACTCCAGACTAGAGAAGCAAAATGTTTAAAACTAGCCTAGGAGAGGTAACACACAACATTCACTAATGTAAAGAACAGCACAGTACTTTAATTTTATAACCTCCATGAAAACTGACAGGGAATATTGCTCAAGTTAAAGAATGAACAAGCTCCTGTACATCTATGATACAAAAAATAGCTAGGTCATTTACGTTATCTCAGAGCAAAGGAGACAGATTATTGAGCTGTTCCACATCCTGCACTGCCACATTTCTTTTTCTAAGTTTTGTCTTTGGTTTTCAATAGCAATTATTTGACCTTCCTGCTTAAGCTACACTTCCATTTTGCTTCTGGAACGATACAAAGTTATTTCTCATGAAGTGCTGTTCAACATCTCCTGGAAGAACATCACTAAGCAGACCCAGATACTGAGTAAACATCACGTACAAACACATGGGAAAGAAATGTTTCACCTCTATATACAGCCCTATACAAAGGCCAATGAAATGAGGAATTGACATTTACATTGTTGAGTTATGACATGCTTCTTTAGCTCCTGTGCTTTAACTTCCAGAGAAAGGAGCTTAGAAAATTTGAGTAGACATTATACTGAAATACACCACGGCAAGTAATGAAGAATATCTCTACTTGTTCAACTTCCTCAAAACATATTTTGGCTGACTTTTGCTCTGATTAGAGTAAAAATAGGAGCAGCATAAATGCAGAAGTTGGAAGGCACGTATCTGTGTGAAGTGAAAGCGTACCCCTTGGTGCTGCATTTTATTGCTGCTCCTCCTTGGTGCCCTTTTAATACAACCAGGACTTCATTTTGAGAAAGGTTGTAATTGTATCCAGCTGCTGACCCAGGCTTGTCACCCAGTCTTACACACTGTGAGGAGAAAGAAGCTGTTTTCCACGTCAGATTTGATTTATATCTGAAATCAATCTGCCTTGCTCGAAAATCCATCAAAGTGGTCAGTTTCAGAAATTTAATATAACGCAAAATGTAAGGGAGAGAAGTTCAAAGTGAACATTTGAAGTATTTTTCTCCTGAAAGGCAGCACATTACCTTGAATTGCACAGTCCCTTAGATCCAGTACAGAGTGGTATTAAGTCTGAAATCAGATGGATCACAACTCCTCCACTCAGAAGCCCGATTCTCATTGATTCTTTTCACCTTTTCAGAACCCCAGCCAGGAGGCATTCTTCAGCACAATGCTAAGACAACACCTTCTAGCGCACTACAAGCTGCATTAGCTTTTAACTGATACTTCTTAAAAGACATAAGGTGTGTTTTGACCAGGAACTCAGCAGTTCAGCCATAGCAGCCGAACAATAAACTTTAAAACCAATACAACATATACATAAATATAAAAATGAAAAAAAAGTTCTTACCTCTGAGTGTGCTTTTTCTTCTGCCTGGAAGAAAATAAAGAAGAAAAGGCTTAGAAACAGCATGCAACATAATTGCGGTAATAGAAAATAAAAGCCAGCTACACTGAAGTGAAATGAATAGTTTCATGGATCCATTACATTGAAGGAAGGTATGCAGTAAAAACAATAAATGGAATTCTTTTCAACTTACTTGGCAAGGCTCCAGCTGAAACCCCAAAGAGTTTGCCAGCATACTGACAACATGAAACAGTGAATAAAAGGAGAACAGGAACTGAACTGCAGAAATTGCAGCTACATTTCTAAGATACAAAAGAAAATTTGCTGTGCTGTCACTGCACATACCTTAGTCTGTTACCAGCAAATTTCTACACTTTAATGATTATTATGGCTCCTATATTTGTTTAACTGTACACTGAGTAGTATTTCTAACAGACTAATCCCTGCAAAGAGAAGGAGACAGTATACCAGTAAAACATATATGGGCAAAGGCAAAGGAAGAGAGGTGCTTGCACTTTGAAGTAATTTCTTCCACACAGAGTACGGACCAAAATATTATGGACTATCAAGGCATGTTAACTTTTCAGCTTAAACTTGTTAAAATACTTCACAATTTTAGATACTTTTCATATTGTTATGCATTGTCATATAATGATGTTATTTACTCAGTAGTCTTTTCAAAAAGCTAAGAAACTAAATGATTGCAAGGCAACTCTCAAAAGTCATTAAATCTGTAAGCATTGGAGCAGTTTAATTTAGGAGGCATTTGGTGGACAGAGAAGTCTTGCTTCAGTGGGATTGTAATGGAAAGGAATAGCATGCCATGGGAGAAGAACCCTTTCATAACATATAATAAGAATCAGTTGATGTACTGGAAATCAACTTGGTGGCCCAAGTTCAGAGAAGCAGTCTAACGTCTGGTAGAGAAGTAAGCAGTAAAAGGAAAATGGAGGCAGAAGAATTAGCTATAAATAACAGTAGAAAGACTAAGAAAACTCAAGCTAAGGGTTCCTCAGAAGATTCCCTGACATCAGGCTGTATCTGTGTTACTATAAATTAATATATCTGCTTTTTTTAAGCCTGTATTAAGCACAACTTCTGTGCTGTTAGAATTTTAATACCTTATTGTAGCAATGTTTTCTTACTTTATTCAGTGTAGGGGGAGAAAACTTTCAGAAAACGTCTCTTTCCATACATGCTTATCTGTGAACAGTCACTAAAAAAAGACTGTGATGCTATTGCATTTCCCTGTGCAACACTTAAAACTGCTTTTGGATGAAACTACTGTAGTAGCTAAGACATTGCTACATGGGAATGATTTAGTATAATGATCTTTTTATTTGTCAGTGCTGATGTGACACACATACTGAAACTAACTTTCTGATCCACGTTCACAAAAACATCTGCTTACTGAAAAAATTGTAATTCTATTCTCATCATCGTTATTTCAAACATGTAGTGTACGACAAATGACAGAGATCAAGAAAGACCATCTCCCCTTATGGATTCTTTTGTGCCAAGAAAAGCAAAAAAAATACAAATACAGGGTTTATGACCTTTGCCTGAAACTGTCACATGGGGACATGGTCCCTCGTCTTTAGACCACCAGCCCCACAGATGACAGCAGTGCTACATAGAATCATAGAATGCACTGGCTTGGAAGAAATTTTTAGAGGTCATCTAGTCCAATCCCCCTCCAGTGAGCAGGGACATCTTCAGCTAGATCAATATGCTCCGATCCCCATTAAGCCTGACCTTGAATGCCTCCAGGGATGGGGCCTCCACTACCCCTCTGGGAAACCTGCTTCAGTAGTCCACCACCCTCATCGTAAAAAATTTCTTCCTTATATCCAGTCTAAATCTACCATCTTTTAGTTTAAAACCATCACCCCTTGCCCTGTCACAACAGGCCTTGCTAAAAAGATTTCTTCCATCATTCCTATACATTTCCTTTAGGTATTGAAGAAGAGCAGCAATATGTTGTGGCCAGATGACTCTTTCATCACACAATGAAGCCTTGCTTCTCTCCCAAAGTTCAGAAAGCTGGCTCCCACAAGTCAACTTTTGTGGGCACTGGAAGAAGTAAAAGAAAGAGAAAGCACCAGATTCTGGGCACACTATCAACTTAAAAAAAATAATAATCTGACAACCAAATACATTTGAGCAAATTTTACTTAAGAGTTCATGCTGACACCATTGTAACCCAGCACTCAGCCACTGGAATTTTTTTTTCTCCCTCTACTTCTCCATCATATCCATGCATCCCCTCCTTGTAAGGACTATTTTTTTCTTTTTTTTGAAGACCTAAAATATTAACATACAAATGGCATGACTTTACACATCTCCTTTGAGCTTGGCTTAGCACCGTTAATGAAGTCTATGAATTCTAAAGGTAGCTATTGTTGAGAGCCAGTGCTAACTAAATATTTGCAGATTGCAGTGTCTCGCTTAGTGAGAAAGAGAAGATTAAAATTGGAGACAACCTATCATAATTTACACTACCACACACCTATTTCAGCCTCTCAGTGAGGTAGATATGTTCCCTGCCAAAACTGAAACAGTATTTAATCCTACACTCTACTATATCTGCCTACGTGGCATACTTTTCTGTGAAACCAAAAGTTTCTCCATATGCATATCTCTTCCAGTCTATTCAAGTAAGCCCTGAAAACCAAAATGCAAATCACAAAGAAAAAAAATACATACAAAGAACATACAACGAAACTCTGATTAATTGTTGAAAAATTTAAATTTTTTCGTAGGATGAGAGGGATCAAGCAGAAGAAATTCTGATCAAAAAACATTTCTAAAGGTCAATCCTAGTAATTTCGTCATACTAATTCCTTTCTTGCTCTTCACAGATTTTCCTGTAATTTATGTTATCTTTTCTACATAATTCATAATTTAAGGAGCAGATTTAGCTGCAACGTGAATTCTGAATTCTTACCAGGAGTTATTCCACTGACAGCATGAACCTGAGTAAACAGTTTAAAGATTGTTTTTCAGGAAAAATACTGTTCTTTAATGTCACGGGGTTTAGGTAATATTTTGAAGATATTGAGTAATCTTGAACGACAGCAGGTTATACAAACAGAAGGTATTATTAAACTCTTGCTACATTACACAACATCAGAGAGATTTCAGACTTACTGATTGAGTAGGTGCTGAAAGCATCCTGTGTCATTTCATAATTTGATTTTTACCATGTATTAGTCTCATACCCCATGTGCAGCCAGTCTGTATGGACATTCTATCACCTCAAAATAGTTCAGGCCCGGTTTGGACTGGAATTGCTTGCAAAATGTTGCTTAAGGCCTGGACAAACCTAATGTGTGTGTACCTTGTTTCAGATATGCCCTTGTATAGACATTCTTATGACCAAACAGAACTAGGAGAGGCACTGTTGTGGTAGATGTTGTACACGGACGCAGCCTACTGCCCAAGCTAACCTCAGTTTAGCATTGAGATACACGGTACAAATGGTACAAATACATCAGACTGCGCAGGCTCGGTATTGCTGGGCAAGAAACGGTGCTGGCTCTGGGTAGAGGAGCCCATGTCATTCCTGGTATGTCAGTTGACACTATTCAACACCTGAAAATACGGAGAGGAGACAGACTTTTCATGTGCACGCGGCACGAAAGCAGATAAGTGGTTTGCTCTCCTGTGAAAAAACGACTGCTACAATATCTAATTGTAGTTAGTGAATAGGTTGCAAAGCAACAAATGTGTGTCAGCAAGGGAATGCCCAAATATGTTTAACTCCTAGGAGTTAAATCATATGGATGGTATCCTGTTAGTAGAATAACTGAAGCAACAAATTATGCAGAAGGTCTCAAACAGAGATACCAAAACAATAAAATAGAGAAAAAAAAAATCAAAACCAGAAATTCTGCTTGAGCTAGAATAATATTCAATCTAATTAACTAAGAGCAATCATTTTTTAAAGACACTCTTCTCTTTGGAAATAACATCTAAATGCTGCCATTTGCAACACAGATCAGTAGGCATTTAAACTGCAAATTATATCTCCCTTTCCCTGAAGCAATCTTGTGTTTTTCAAGAAGCATACCTCAGTGACAGGAGAAAAACACTTTGTAAAATCTGCAATTAGACAACTAGCTTAAGATAAGCAGAATCACTCAAATTCACTCAAATTCATCAACTAAAATAGCATAAGGACCCCCCTTATAGAGAGACTCCCAGATCATTGCCTTCTTTCCAGCTTTCAAAATATACACTAGATGACTTCAAGCAGTTCTAAGCAAGTCAAATAAAAAGATGAAAATAATGTATTCTAAAATAGTATGGTAATAATACCAAAGTTGAAAATGAATGTTCCTGCTTTATTACAGTACAATTTTAAGCCTTCTAAACCTCAAAGTATTGAAATTTTCATGAACAATGAACAAGAACAGAGGTAGGCAGAACTTTTTTCTATAATGTCAATACTCACCGTAGAGTAGAGAGAGGATGTGCTGGAGACAAGTGATAATGAGGACCCATGTACTTTTAAAAAAAAAAAGAAAATAACATGAAATATTGACGAACACATAAAAATTGTCCCACGTAGCTCAATAACTAAACATCTTTTTAAAATGAGAACCAATCTTCCACAAAGAGCTATCAGCATAGAAAAACTATTGATATTTTTTCCTGTACTTAAAAAGATTGTTCTATACAGAAAAAACACTTTACTGTGTATGAAGTAGGAGAGCAAGTCAGTGAGATTCAGTATGATTCACAGCAAGTCAAGCACCACTTTTGCTGTTTTGACAACAAATTGCTTCATAAACCAGAAACGGAGCCGTTTCTATACCTGCCCAAAGCTGAGCAAACTGATTTTAATAAGAGACTATGCTTTGCAAAATAGTTCACATCCCCTGGGGTGAGCTCCTGGGCTTTGCTCAGCTGGTTTCTCCTCAGTACAATGCAGAGCCATGTATTTATTTTCTCTGTGAAGGGGTTACTGGAAGATGGAGTGCCATATTTCACTAATCAGCAGCAGCATCGGTCGCAAGAGCACCAAGTGAATGTTACAGGACTTCAAAAAATGGGATTCCTGGCCTCTGTGCAAATAAGAAGTGAAGACTAAACTGAAATAAAATTGTCCCTTGTGCTTCTGATGACTCTCCTGAGGAAGGATGCACCAACAGAGAATTTTACAGAAGATAATTTATTTAATTGCTTCTTTTCATTTTTGTTTTGAATGAAATGTTTAATATTTATAATCTGCCAGGGCTTGGTAAATAAATTATTTTGCTTTAATAGCTACCTGGCATCCACATGCCAAACTCACAATACACGAATTCTTGGATTAGCCAAATAGACTTTAAATCTAGTTTTGTAACTGGGCAAATATTTACTAAGATGCGGTACACTGGCCATTAAAACCCTGTTGCTTTCAGGCTACCTATGGTTTTCAGTCTCTGCTTTAAATGTCTCAGCTAAACTCTCATTCCGCTCTCATACACAGTGGTTCTACCCATTTCCTCATTTCTTTCACTATAACCTTCCTTAGAGGTTCTATCTTAAATGGAATACATTTGGCCTTTCAACAGCATCATTTCACATCAATATCCAGTGACCATAAACTGCTGAAAATTGTTCATTATTGCTGCATTGACTTTCGTTTACTCAGGTTGACCATGGTGATCCACTCCAGCTGGACGTGAAATACGACGAATGAAAAAGCTTTCCTCAAAGTCACTGATGACCCATTACTGAAATTATATATTTAACACCTCTTTTTCTATGCATAAATTATTTGCCTTGTTTTCCTTGTTATTCTTTTAGTGTCTCCTTAGATAATTCTTCTGTTCCTCAGCAAAGGGTTTTTAGTCAGCACTGTCCTTGAATTATGTGATATCCTTCTGTGAAGGCAGCCAGTCTCTCTAAGCTGACGACTCACAGCTTGATCTTTCCTGCACCCTACTGCTAGTGTTACATACCCAGATGTCTGCCCGACAGATCACCAAAATACAGAATAATGAATTGAAAAATAAAAGTATTAGTTGTCTGTTGACTTTTTTTCCCCGTCCTTTTATCTCAGAACTATAAGCTTTGGGGCTACGGGAAGGCTTTTTTCTTTGCTTGTTATAAATACAATTTATGTCATCATCACTTAGCAGCGAGCAAGGGGGATGAGATGATGTTATAGAATGAATCTCCATTAAAGTTTAGGTTTCTGGTTTGGTTTTGGGTTTTGTTTGGGTTTTGTTTTGTGTTTTATTTTGGTTTTAAATAAAAGGGTGTGAAAATTGGGAATTCTGCAAATAATTGGGTTTACCAGAAATGTTAGCCAAAAAAAAAAAGTTACAGTGCATTTAATTTGAAGTTGTCAGATTCTCTCTGATTTAAAAAGAATAAAAAACAAACTAAAATGTATTTCCCAAATTCCAGGTGTTGCATATAGCATTAAAGAAACCAGACCAAACATAATAATCAGAGTAAGTAACAATGTAAATACAGAAATTCACATACCGTTTTCTGTAGGAGTCTATAGTAAAGCAGGGAAATGAAATGAATACAACAGAAGGGGGTTGCCAAGTAGTACTGGCATTTGGGAATAAAAAAAGAAATACAGAAGTAGGACTAAGAAAGCATGGAATCATAGTAGTCAAGATATGCTCAGACACTTCTAATTTAGAGGCAGAAAAATAAAGTAACTTTCCAAGAATGGCTTCCTTTCCTCTAAAATTTCTGACAAGGGTTTTATATATGTATGGCATACATAGCATTGCCTATAACTGTGTGAAAGAAATATCTTCCACGTTTTAGAGTAAGAAAGTCATGTGAGTTCAATAGAATTAAAAAAAGAAGCTTCACAAAATTACTTAATTTTTTATGATGCAGAAAAGAATTTTAAAAATTTTACTACCTTTACTATATTTTGGAGGCCTATGTACCGATCCAAATAGTAACTCAGTCTTACCTTCTTCCATGCTGTCCCTGAATGAACCCGAATGACTGATTGCTCGTGGTCTCTCTTCTAAGGATGTAGCACTGCCACACAGTTGGGAGTCATCATACAGATCAAAAGAGGTGTCTTGTGCAGGGATGCTGTTTGAACGCATCATACTGGGTCCAGGAAGGTTAAACTGAGATAGGTTGGTTGGACTCACTGGAATACAAAGCTCTATTAATAAAGCACATTCCCATAAAATGAATTTTGGTTCTGCACAATACTGTAGTATCAGACTAGCATGGGTAGATGGACTTTATGTGGTTGAGAAAATGAAAGGCTTTTATTCCTAAATATAAAGCCACCACAAAAAAGGTGAACATGGTCTTCAAGGAGCTGTAGATGGATGAGTCTAATCCTGTAAAACACATAGTAATACTAACACTGTTGTCTGAATACACACTTCTTCACTTTGACAGCCCAAGAAAGAAAATCAGTGGAAGAAATTCAAAAGTTAAAAGTTAAATAGGAGTACATAGTTTTACAAGCAGCTTTTCTGTATTTAGTTGTTATATGCCTATATTACTCACTGCTGTTAAGATCAAGTTTATTGGCATATGCAAGACATTTATCCTTTGATTTGCTACAGCATCTATCACTATATTAGGTTAAAAATCCTGCACAAACTAGTTGAATCTCGTCATAATAAATAGGAGTAGTCCTATCACTCATGGTTCAAATCCAGAACAGCATTGATGAACCTGCTTTAAGTTTTTGCAAACTTTGTTTGCCAGTAAGAGCTAAAGCCTGGTTATGTTTCAACTGGACCGTGTGAACTCAATGCCAAGAAGGAAAAGTTAACTGCCTATTCAAATTCAGCCTCACTGTTTGGAATTTTATTTAGATCATGCAAGTTGTGCCTTAAGTCATAAACTACTAGAGCAGCTGTGTTGTGAGAGCAAATTATTCCATAGGGCTATGATAATGGAAAGAAACAAAGGACAATGACAAAATAAATTTAAAAAAACCCTGATGTTATTGCTCTCTGTTGTGAGTACAAGAACTATGAAAAAAAAGAAAAGGAAGATAATTGTAAGCAGAAAATGATAGAGTGAAATAAACTGCATAAAAAGTGCTGTGTCTAAAACTACTGCAAGTACATGGAGAAAATCCAAAGCAGTAGCTTGCTGAATGAGGATCCAATTTAATTTTAAAAGTGACTTCCTTCAACTTCTTTTCCTGTATGTAATATAGACCAGCATTTGTAGGTCTGATGAAATTTCTTCTAAGTGATTGTAACCTACAGATGCTATAAGCTGTGGCAGAAGCGTGAATGCTTCTAAGGTTGCTACTAATTCCACAGTAAGAGCTTAAAAAACAAAAACTCATTGTGAACCTAGGTATGTGTCCAGCACTGTACAAATAAATTTTCTATTAAGCAATAAAGTAAAATTTTCAGCAAAACTAAATTTATTTTGGATTCACTTGAAACAAGACCTAGAATAACCAAATCTAAATCTTGACCTGTAATCAAATAAATCTGAAATGTGACTTATATACCAAAATATTGTATTGCATTCAAGGTTAGGATTCGGACTGCGCCCAGTGCAATTATAGCCAGGTCCAGCCACTGAAACACATTGAAAAGTCTATCTCAAAGCAAACTTGTATACAGGAAAAAAGCAATATATAGTGTCTGGGTTGACATTCACTAAAATCACTGGAAAAAATACTACTGACTGTGATTCTTGAAAAATGAGTTGCTTTGAACTGGAAGCTAATTTCCAGCTCTGCCTCAGATTTTCTTCCCCTTGAGGAAATCATAGAGAATCTGTTTGTTTTTTTTTATTTTTGGGTAAGCAAAATAAGAAGTATCTTACTCTATTAAAAACACCACAAGATTCCCTTCACTAGTGAGGCACCACAACATGGTGATGGAGATGTTAAAATATATTATCTAACTACGCAAACTAAGAAACATGACCACTAGAATTTTATAATTTTTTTCTGGAGTGGGAGAAACAGTGAAGGGGAATGGCATTTACCCAGATTGGAATAGTGATATTTTCCAGTTGCAGATGAAGACATAGCTGAAGGAGAAACAAGCGGGGACTGACTGCCAGTGTCTTGCAGGCCTCCAGTCGAATGGGAGCGTAGCCATTCCTTGCCTTCCTCCTGACTTGTCTGCCGGGATGATGGAGTATATCTGAAAAACCACAGCTGACATGCTCAAAACAATGACAGGGTGATGGTTCGGAAAGAAACAGGTGTCACATAAATACCCGTCACCAGTGACAGAACAAAACCGTTGGAAAGCATCAAGTCTAGTCAAGTGATTATCACCAGGGACTTTAACAAGGTAAAATTTACCATCTTATTAAAACAGAAAAAGTACAAGACTTGAAATCTCTTTCCTCTTCATCCCCCTCCCCAAAACAGCATTCCCTTCTTTTGAAGAGATATGATGATAAACCACAGAAGACAGACAGCTGAGCTGACAGGAAAGGGCTTCAGAGTTATAGGAAGTGTGGAGGTTGATGCAAAAGCTCTGAAGCTGCATGACTAGGATGGGGAATGGATAGAGTAGAAGCCAAGAAATGTGAGTAGCCGCTTAAAAAATGGCATCTGTCACAGATCACGTGGGCAATTGGTTAGATGACAGGAGTGAAACAGATCAACATCTCTGAAAAAGGAGTTTGGATCAGTAATGACAGCTACTCATGGCCATACACGCAGTTTGTTGCTCTGAATGCTATTTGGCATTGTGTCCTGCCCCAAGCTGCAGGGAGGGAAAGGGACAGGAAAAATCCACAATTAGCAGAAACAAGTTCTCTGGAAGGAAGAAGTCTGGCAATCAAATCATTCATCAACTGCTTGCAATGTCAAAGCAATAAAACAAGTGCAACTTGACACATGGGCCAAGAGGGAGAACTGGTAACTCCGTGGCCCAGCCTCTTTTGGCTGGGCTGGAAGAAGAGTAATTCTAACAGTGGTTAAACATAAAAATGCACAGGCAGTGTGGGTCTTAATCAAGAGATTGTTTTCAGCAATGTCTGCAATTGCCTGCTTCATTCAGCACAGTCCCTCCTGAGAAATGAGCACCTTCTTCACCACTGTCATGAGCCATCAGCGTTCCCTAAACAGCAGAGTGGAAAGGGATTTTGATATTTCACCTTCAGCCTTGTGAGACACAGGGATTTCTGCTTAGAAGGCAGATTAAATGAGCATGTACGTTCTCATGTTGTGCTTGGGGTTTTGTACAATATTTTCCGGCATTAAAACATCTCATTTTGATTATATATTTACTTCCTTTCTCCTTTCAAAAAGACAGCTCTGATCTTTGCTTCTAAATGTGGTAGAGCAGAGTTACCCAGTGGTAACTTTCTGGTCAGAAAGATGGCAAAATGAGAATTCAGGATCAGGGTCTTGGACTGGGATGTCGGCACATTACATCAAACTGGCATTTTTTCAGGATAATGGATTGGGATTTTATGTCTATAAGCTGTTTTCCCTCTCTGTTTCACATTCAGCTTTCAGCCACCATTACAGTCGTACAGCCACAAACCTCAGACATCCCATTGTGCCCTTGTAAGGTCCTCTTTGGGCCTTTTTCATGTCTTCCACCTCTTCCTTTCTCTATAAATCCAAAATGACTGTTTTGGGATAACAGGAAATTTGTTTAAATTCTTATTAGGGAACAGCCAGTGCAGAAGAGAAGAAGGTGCTTTATAGTGATAAAATTTTAGCACTATCTTGATTTTTTAAAACAATATTATTTGTCCATAACTCAAGAGATTTAAATGTGTCATTTCAGTGACTGGAAGTCTGCAAAATGTCTGTGTGCATGCACATATACTTTTGCTTGCCAAATCTCCTTCCTGGATTAGAGAGATAGGTTTCCATGCCTGATGAGACCCGATAGTTTACCTAATGATCCCCTCTTTTAACCATGGAGCAGAGAAGAGGGTCCATGACTTCTGTTTTCTGTGATGAAGACAGCTCTAATTAGTGGGAAATTAGTAACAAAGTTGGACTCTGAGTATTACTGGATAGGGTCCAAGAAGACTAGATAAAGCAGAGCTCATTTTAGACTTACAAACCGTGGATACTAAAATTAGGATTTTCTAGCCCTACTCTTTACAAGATCTTCAATTCAAATGGCACGTTTGCATTTAGAATTCAAGTAAAGATCCACTTGCTTTTCTCAATGATGTTTTCAACAATCAGTTCCATTGAATTGCAAAAGTATCTTGTTCTGTCTCTTAGCTCTCTGAGATTCAATGCCTTTTAAGATTTGTTGAATAAGGAAACTATCCTTACAATATTTACTTTTCATGATATATCTTGAAAGGAAATTTATTCACTAGGCAGACTTGGAAAAAAAATGTCCACTGTTAAAATCTACGTTTTCTGTTTTGAATCTGAATATCAAGACCTCTGTTGTAAACAGGATCAACAAAAGGAGAAAGAAAAGGAAAGACAGTGTAGAAAAGGTTACAGGGAAACAGAGAAGCAGCAGTCATGCTCAAAAAAATATATACCTTAATCCCTTTTTGGGTAGTGTATTTCTGTCAAGCTGCATGCTGTTAAAACAAAAAAAATCCCTAAGGACATACAGTACACAGGACTGGTCAGAATTACAAATTTTAAAGGTCTAAATTTGTGTGCATAAAAGAAGGTCATTTAATGCTTTTTAATATATCTTTCATGATAAAGCTCTGACTCACTGGAGGGGACGATAGGACACGGACTGCTGCACATTCATTTTTCATCTAGACATGCTCTGGGCTGGGTCAATTGTTATTTGGATACTGTCCAACTCAGAAAGAATTCCTTCCTTACAATTTCTAACCTTCCTACAGCTTCACCCTGCAATCTGTGCAAGAATCATATGGTCACAGTATGAATCTTTATTTTTCACAGTTGCCTGTGATATGCCAATAGATTTCTGAAAGAAATGAAGGTTGTGGCACCTGCTAAGAGACAGCATGGCCTTGCCAGAAGCCAAATGACAGCTCTGCGTGTAGAAATACGTGCTAAGTATACAGGCTCTTGGCTTTCAGTTGCTGTGGGGCTCACATAGTAAAGTGATGATGGGGACAATGAAAAGTGGCACCAGATCAATGCTGTTTCATATTCATGTACTCAAGGTGACAGAATGGCTGGAACTTTACTAATTTAAACCTCATCACTAGAAGGGCACCTACTAACCTTTATTTGAGTAAGTGTCATTTGGGCACTTCCTCATAAAGACTTCGCAGATCAGTCCCAGCTTAGTGTGGGTTGAATTTGAACTAGTTATCATCAAGTAAGTGCTGCAATGCTTTTTCCCCTTAAGAACATAATTTAATGTCACTGTATGGATTAAATTGCAAAATGCCTATAGAAAGTTTCTGTATTACATATCATAATCACACCTCTGAAAGCAACAGTAACTTAGGACCCTTCAAGGTTATTTCCTACTGTGCGGGGTGCCCTGTCGTCTTGTAAC